GTGCAAGCTGTACAGAAAACGAGCTACAAGACTTGGATAGCCCATTATGCATTATCTACATGAAAGACAACTGGGACATCAAGATGATGGTCGTGTATAAGAACCACAAGATAAGCACGCACGTCAAAACCGACAATGCCGTCTGCGGACATATATGTTCCTCCGACCCGACAAACATAGAACCGACATTGGTAATTAGCGTCCTCCATACGGGAGTTTCCCAAAATTAGGGGGACCGTATTTCGGGGTCCTGATAATGAGGATCCTACTATTTAAGGTACTACCTTAAGGCCCCCCATTTTCGAAAATAGGGGACCCTAGTATAGTACCCAAACTACTAGGATCCCCTTATTATAAACCCTAAACCCCTTATAGAACCCTTGTAGATCCCTTAAAGGAACCCTTATGGTACCCTTTAAAGGAACCCTACTAGGGGGCCCCCTATCTTCCGAAACATTCATCATTTCCTCCGCTGCTTTGTGGTCGTCTCTCGGCTCCTGCTTTGCTCCTTGTTGGAGTTCATCTTGAACAAGAACAGTATTACTGTAGGGGCCTTGATAATCATAATTAGCATAGGGTTTTGGTGCCCATTCTACTATAACTGTATTTGGGAATCCCCAAAATAGCATAGTTAATTATTTTGGCCCCTATATATATATATATATATATACATATCTATATATACATTCATATATATGTGTGTGTGTGTTTATATGTGCCCGCGCTCCGCGTTCTCGACCCCCCCCCCCCCCCCCCCCCCAATGGTATCCCCCCCCCCCGACCCGGGCGACCACACAACAAGAACAAGAACAAGAACAAGAAGAAGAACAGCAGCAACAACAAAGCAGCAGCAACCACGCGGAGGAACCACAGGAACCACAGGGGGGGAGGGGGGAGACAGGAACCAGAAGAACCACAAAAGGGAGGGGGAAAACCAAGAGGAACCACAGGGGGGGGGGGAACCACAGGAACCACAGGGGGGGGGAGGGGGATTACCATGGGGGGGGGAGGGGGGGGGGGGGTGCGCGGATGCTGGCACATATATATATATATATATATATATATATATTATGCTGATATGACTAGTCTTTGCAGAATATGTAAAGGTAAGCGGTAATCATCCTGATGCTTTTGGACAAGTGTGGGCTTACGAGATCAAAGCCCTAAACACAACACCAGACCAAGCTGCGGTTTCCATCACAACCTCCTGCAGATGATGCGGATTGCTCGACCCACCAGTCTTGTGGCGGAGATCCTTTCTATCAGGGCGCTCCCAGGCTTTATGAGGGGTGCAGGGATTTACAAGTGCAAAGCGAATGTATAACGGCTTGTAAAGGCGTTCAAGCGTTTCCAAGGAGGGCTTGAAGGAATTTAGCTGGGTTTAGAAGGAGGGGCAAAGGCTTCATAAAGGATGCTGTCAGGGTTTACGGGTGGCCGTTCCCAACCTCATGTTCCGGTCTTCCAACACCCTTAATTAAGGAACTTGCCCAAACGTTCAATGGGATGCCTAAAGGATCCCTAAAATGACTTGACATATACAAATATATATATATATATATATATATATATATATACATATATATATATGTGTGTGTATAGCATACATACACACACATATATATATTTTTCCGGGATTTCCGTTGCCTTCAGTGGAGTACGCGGCCTAATTAGGAATGCAAAGAACTCCTCAGGGGCTCAAAAGGAGCAGCCAAGGGAGAACACCAGAAGGATTCGGGGGCCTGTACTTCTGAGACCTGCCCATTCCAGGCAGAGACCCAGAGCTCTCGAAGTTCCTTCGGAATACTAGTCAGAACTGCTTCAATCGTGGCAGAAAGATTGCAGCCGTCACTGAAGGCAGGCTTTTCTGCTTCCCAGCCCGACCCCAGGATTACAAACGGCTGTGCACGGGTCCCACGACGGCTCAGCAACTGACGGTGGATCTTCGTCCACTTATCCGCGGCAAACTCACGGAGGGAAACGGTCTCGCTGACCTCATCCTCCGGGGGCTGCTCGATGTAGATGGGGATCTCCTGGATCTCGGCCAGGACCTCGATGATGAAAGTGCCGACACCTTCCTCCCAAGGGTCGGCTGGGTCATCATCCTGCAGTAGCCGGACCTCCCCGCTGACGTAGGCAAGCACCTCGTTCTCCTCAGTGCGGTACAGCGGGTACCGCCGCAGGATTCCCTCGACCGCTTCACGTAGGACATCGCGCCGGCTCCAGGTGCGACTTTCAAAGAGGAGGTGGCATAGATCGGCGTACAAGCGGAGCTGGATGTCGTCCCATCGTCCTTCCGTCCAGGCTTGAAGAGGTTGCTGGACCTGTAGCGGGATCGCCAGGCTGTATTCCTCATCCGCCTTTCGCCTCATGGCTCGACTCCCGAAGCCCTGCGGGACAGTGCACGACCCGAGTCCATGCTCCCGGAGGGTGCGTACGCATTGCGGCCTGTCCCTCAGGTGAACCGCTAATCTCGCCTGCGACCAATACTGCTTGCCACAAGCTCTGCACATGGTTCCACTGATGCATGTCCTGAACTGGGCCTTGCGAGCGTGCGCCTTGAACATGTGGGCCCCCATGCCGGCTTTGCTTCGGAAGCTCTTGCCGCACGGCCGACAGTACCACACAGCCTCGATCCACTCAAGTCTGGGCTGGTACTGCACAGCACTTCGGAAGAATGCCCAGAGGGCAAGCTGCCCCAGTTCCCTTTCCGCCGTGCTATCATGATGCTGCTGTAGGGCCCGACGAACACGTGCCTTGAAGGCACCCGGGTTGTCCTTGATGAGGTGCCACCATTGCGGCCAACAGGCGGGGCTCACCTCCGGCCAGTCGCCACCATAACTGACCACAAGGGACAGGTCCGCCTTGATCGTCGCCAGCCACTTCTGCTCAGACTGCAAGACAGCCCAAATGTGAGGGGGGTTAACCCTCACAAGGGAACACAGCATCCCGAGCCGTGCTTTGATCGCCTCCGTCTCCATTCGCCAACATTTCGTCAGCGCATGTACCAGAGGGTGCGACAGACGTAGCACATCATGTGCTCCAAACTGAGGCTGTAGTAGTCTCCGAAGGAGTCGCGAATATCCGTCACAAAGTCGGGCCCATTGTTCACCCTCAGGTTCCCAAAGACAGAGGTTGAAGAAGGACGGGAGGATAGCCGCGACAAAGAGCTTGGCTCGTACAGCGAGTGGTACCGTGGGGTTCTGGTAAAGGAGCCGTTTACCAACATCAAAGGAGCTGCGCGCTATTCCCAGGCGTCTGCGGGTTTCATCTTTCATCGTCATGCCCGCATCTAACACCCCACCTAAGTGGGTGTAACTTGGTACCACAGGTATCCGAAGGTCCAAGTCCTCGAGATGGAGCTCTTTCCCACTGCCTTCGAAGTGTCGGGCCCTGGCGCTCCTCACTCCTTTGCCATGGAGGGAAATCAGGTAGCTCGTCTTCCCCCTTTTTGTGTTCGGATCCATCCCATAGGATCTGCAGTGACTCAACACAAGCGACCCCAGGCGTTTCGCCTTTCTCAGTAAGGCATCCGGGGATACATCCGACACAGGAAAGGCTGAATCATCAGCCCAAGTCGTGTCCCTCGCAGTGAAGGCCTCCCCCTGGTGGGGTCGCCCGAAAATCCCCAGCTCCTCCTCGTAGTGGTGCACCGTGAGAAGTTCTTCAGCTGTGGCGATTTCCGAGACTCGGCACAGGATGCTCGCATAGACGTAGCCGAAGAGGACGTCGGCCCAGGACTCGCCTGGTCTTGATCCTGCCTTGGTGACACTAAGTCTAGTCCCGCTGCTTTGCGCACTGACGAACCAGGTCCGGGTATGAAAGTCAGCGACGGCTGTGCATATAGCAGGACTGACACCAGAGTCCCGGAGGGCCCCGCCACTTGCGATCGCCTCCAACAACTCCCTGGCATCCTCGGCATCGATGTCAAAACGCTGAAACAGCTTGATGATAGTACCGTCCTGGGTGAGGTCGCCAGTGGCAATTTCCCGGATCACCCGGTAATATGCCGAGCGCATGTCGAGAAAAAGCGTGCATGCCGACAGGCCCGCACGCTTGCAGTACTTCATGTGAGCCGCAATGTACTGCGCCCCAAACGTCACCGGGGCTCCTCGCTTCATGCCAAAGTGAACCTCGTGCAAGACGTCCCCAAAGTGATCTTGAGCTTTATCACGGAGGGCCCTGCGCAGAGTCTTGCCTAACAGGCTGCTCACAAATAATGAGCGATAGCTCGCAGGATCCTCAATGGGTCCTGCTTGCTTCCTGCAAGGGTTGAGTGAAGTGGACCAGAGACTTCACGAAGAGAGGAAGTACTGCTCTGGCGACCCCCACAGGCGCTCCTCTAAGGAGCTCGCCTGGTACGGCGTCTAGCCCCGGCGCCTTCCCTGCCTGGATTCTTCGGAGAAGCCCTTCTATCTCGGTCAGGTTCGGCAGCTCATGCAGCTCCCATTGGACATCGTCCGAGATGGGCGGTCGGGCTGGGCATTCCTCGAGGAAGTCCCTGGTCGCCATCGTGGTTCCCATTTCCATCTCCCCAAAGTGCTGAAGCCATATGTCGTCTCGATCCTCCCTTGTCGTAGCGAGCGCGCCGTCCGGCTTCATCAGTTTGGGTGCTGGCTTGACCGCAGTCCTTTTTCGCCGGCCGCCTACTCCAGCGGCTTTTGCTCTTTGTAGGACTTTTGAGGCAGTCGTTCCTTCACCAACCAGCGTTCGCAGGAACTCCTCCTTGGCCACTCTGATGCCGATTTTGATACGCTGGGAGGCCACACCGATCGCCGCGGCCGCTGTCTGGTACAGCAGCTCGTGTTTGACCGCGCCGGCGACATGCCGAGCCTGGGCTCCGCTCCAGTGGTGAAAGGCTGCCTCGAGCCTATCCCTGTGTCCCCATCGGCGCCCAGTGGTGCGCTGCTTGAGGCTCAACTTCTTATCCCGCAGTGCCCATACCCAGCCGGGAATATATGAGGCCCGTGGTCCCCGGTCAGGGAGGCTGAAGTGGGTGGCCATCACTTCATGGAGAAAATCCTGGAGGTGTTGACAGTGCAGGTCCACGTCGGTATCCCATGAGGGGGCAGGGCTGCTTCGAGAGTGGCCTTGCCATCTTCGGTGGCCATTTTCTGGCGATCGTATCGAGGTCGCCAGATTTTGCAGGCCTTCCCAGTCGGTCCACAATTGCCAGCTAGTTCGAGCTGGACCAAGTAGTGGTCGTCATGGGCTCCAGCTGTATCCATCTCGTAGTTCACCTTGCTTTGGACTTCCGTGTAGGTAGCGCTGCCACCGACACACAGGAAGTCAATTCGGTGAAGCTGTCCCAACGGGTGCCGAAAAGTAGCGCTCGGCCCGGCATGGTATTTGGGAAATGTTGCCGGGAGCCACATTCCCAGGTCTTCAATGAGCTCGACCGCTTGCTGGCCCGCAGCATCCTCCGTGCCGTAGGATAATCCTCCAGTGACACTCTCGTAGTCCGCCGGGGGGCGCCCGTTCAGGTCAATTCCGAGAATAATGACCTGCACCTGGGCGAAGGGCTTCAGGATCGCATGGAGCTGCTTCAGGAACTGACTTCGTTCTGTTGGCCTCCCTGCATGTGGGCAGTGCCCGGAAGCTATCACACAATGGAAGTGGGCTATCTTGATCGAGAGTACCAGGAGTCTCTCCGACTGATGCACTATGTGCAGATCTTCTTCTGAGACGAAGCAGGGGTATTCATTCCGGGATAGGAGGCCCAACCGTCGGTTGATCCAGATACCCGTGCCCCAGTGGGACCGTGCATCCGATCCCAGTCTCCAAAAGCCAGAGGAGCAGCATATGCCCCCAGATTCTTTGGTTTCCTGCAAGCACACGATCTGGTATCCGGCTTCCTGAAATTGTGCCTCAAGGTATGCATGCTTGTTCGTCATCCCTTGCACATTCAAGGTAGCAGCTTTGACAGTGAACTTGAAAGGCTCACCCGCCTTTCCCGGCCAAACTGGCACCGTAGGCACCAATTGAGCAGTCGAGAGAGGACTAGGGCCAGGTGACACGTCTGCATCCCAAGACAGAAATTGTCCTTGCTGTAGCGGGAGTCCACCAGCAACCGGTCCTGGCGTAGCCGCAGCAAGCCAGCTTAGATCCATCGACATGAAGGTCTCAGCACTGGACTGCGGTGGGCCTATCGGTCCAAAGGTTCCCTTTGCGGCCGCTTTAGCCACTGAGACGGCTAGCTCGTTCCACGGGTCGCCCTGGTGTGCCTTGGTGTGGCGGTAGTTGAGGCCTCCCGGCAGGATCATGTCCACAAAGTTGGAGAGGTGCCTCAGACGCACCCCAAATGGATTGCCGGGGTTCCATTTTCGACTCTCCCCAGCCAGCAGCCATATTGTCAAAAAAGATGGTGGCAGCCGCCAGTCGAATAATCTGTCGGCTTTGGCAGAGCCATAGCAACGCCGCTGCAATTGCCGTTTGCTCGGCCTGAAGGACCGGCGGCGCCTCAAAGTTCCAGGCCGAGTCCGGCTGCCCCAGAATAGGCTCTCCGAGCAGCCCAAACAAAGACTTCTTGGCACCCGCAAGGAGAAGGACCACGGTGCCGTAGCCGTTGTTCCCAGTGTGGTCCATATAGGACCCGTCCGTGTAGAACTGCGCTTCCAAAGGCTCCGCACCGGCGTCACTCAGTAGGTCGCTCCAGTGGGTAAGGTCCGCAAATGCCTCTGCAGTGCGCGGGTGGATGTCGAGCTTGTCAGTGGTATTCGCGATCCAGTCCGGTGGCCATGGCCTGAGGAGAGCCTGGAGCTCGTCCGGGTGGTGAGGCAAGCGCAACGTCTCATTGGTGAGGACAAAGTTCGCCGGCGGGATCACGGCCGCCAATGCCAGAGGTATTATTCTGGCAAGCTTCGCAGGTCTGCCATGGTCCCAACCATGCCTGCAAGGAGTAGTCGTGGGCGGGTCGCCTCTTCGTGGTGATCGACTACGGTCAGGGTCCGGCTCTGCATCGGGCTGCTGGTCGCTGTTGTCGTCGCCCGGGCCGTCCATATTCTCGTCGGTCACATCCTCATCGTTCTCCGATTCTCCATCATCTTCGGACCCATCATCGCTGGAGCCTTCATTCTCACTCGCAGTGGGCGTGATATCTGTAGACATCCGAAGTTCTACAAGGAGGAGCTCCCCTCTCTGTACTTCGAGCTCCAGGCCATTTCCAGTCCTTCGGCCTCCACGTACTATGATTGACCAGCCCGGGTGGTACTCAAGCTGGAGCGAGTCCAGGTACGGCATGGGATCGAAGTAGGGTGAGTCCAGGCACAACCACTGGACCCACATGCCAACTCCACGTAGGTCGAGGAAGATCAGAATCGACTGCTCCCTCGGGTGTTCGGCCTTGTCGACCACAGCCAACATAGACCTCACTCGCCTGGCCCGGTCCGTAAGGTGCATCGGGCGGTCTGCGGGGGCCAGGATCCAAATCTCCTCAGGCTCGTGCCCAAGGACGTCCGCACATAGCTGGATTGGTGACCGCGAGTCCCGTCTGTTCACCATATTGATGACCGCTGCTCGGGTGGTTTGGAAAGCAAGAAAGTGCCCGGGTGCTGGTGGTGGAGGTTCCGTCGCCGGTCTCCATCTAGTCGGGTCGCTCAAGCGCGGCCCCGCGCCGCATGACTTTAATCAGTCCACCTTGGAAGGGCCGTCTGCCGCCCTCCTCTGGTAGCGGGACCTCGACTGGTTCCCTCCAGGAAATGTCAACCTTCCGGAGGATGTTGCGACGGTTGACAGGGCCCTCGTGATAGAAGGGGTAAACGCTGCCTCCGATGTCAGTCAAGTCCGCGAGCAGGACATAGCGTTCAGAAAGCAACATCCATGGAGGTATCAGGACGAAGCTCGCGAAATCCTCCGAGACCTGAGGCCACACAGGCTTGCAGTGAGACAACCAGCGAGGGAAGTGGGAGGTCTCCTGCAGGGCCAGTGCTTGCAGCCGGTCCCTGTCAACCGGGAACGCCACTGCAATGTCGATCATCTCCGGCTCATAGTGCACTGCAGTTACCCACAAGGATATATGTATCGCTGTAGTAGGTGGCGGAAGTGGGTCCGGTTCACCATGGGCCTGGGCCCAAAAAACCGGGGGTGGGGCTTCCCCTGTAGAGTGTGCAAGGCCCCTCTCCATCACCACTCTGCTCCAATTCTCTTGTAGCCATTCTCCGTAGGATCGGCGGTCTGCCGCGTAAGCATCGCCCCGTAGTCGCTGCAGAGGGCGTATGCCTTGTCGTTCGTCACCAGCCGCCTCCACTCGAGTGATGATGGCTAGGGCCAGGCACAGTCGGTGTGGCCTCCATCTTCTCCTGCTCGCTGCACTACCCAGGGTGATGCCAAGGGCCAGGAGCCAAATACATGCAAGGGTTGATAGGAGGCCACTCGCACACAGTTGGAGCTGCAAAGTGGTTCGCCATGCCACTGTCCCAATTAGTTTAGAGATCACCGTGACATAGTCAAGGAGGTCAAAGAAGCGGTAGCCGACCGCCCAGGAAAACACCGAGTGGAGCCCCTCGTTATACTCGGGGACCTCCTCCAAAATGCCACCTTCACTGGCGCCACTGGCGGACAAACCGAAAAAGCCGCCCAAAACTGCCGTATTCCCCATCATCACGAGTGGAGCAATCGGACTTCTTGATAAAGTTTCCTCGGGGATGGGCATTCCACTTCCATCCAGGGGAGGAACTCGGCCACCAGGATCACCGGGGGGCCGACAGTGGCCTCCGTATACTAGTCCATGTCCTGGTCCAGCTCGGTCAGCTTTTGCTCCTTGTCGTCGTCGAACAGTTCGACAACCGGCACAGCTCCCAGCTTCTCTCTCCGCTTCTCCAGCTTGTCCGCGAGCGGGGTGCCTCCCAGTGGCGGTTGCACTGGTGTGCGGCCTTGGTTCTTGACAGCCACTCGGGCACTTCTTTGCCCGGCCTTTGGCTTGTCCTTGGTTTCCACAGGCATCCCCGTTCGCGTCGATGGCGAGGTGACAAATGGGGGGTCTGGAATGGTCTCCAGGTGGTACTGCTCGCCACCAGCTGCCTCCTGGGTCGCGGTCTTCTTGGTCGCCTTGGCCGGTTCCATCGGGGTGCTGGCCTCCGCTGTTCTTGCACGTCGGGGGGGCGTGGACGTCACTCGACCAGCCTGCCTCTCCGCGATATGCGGGCAAGTCGTGCCCTGGTCTCCTTCGGGAGCATGCTCGTGCCCTCCAAGGCCTCGTCGAGTAGTCCAGCCACTCCCTCCTCCTCGTGGTGTTCCGCCATGAGGTCGTTCCAGGCCTGGATCGCTTCCGGCGGGAGCTCCTCCTGGTCCGCCGTCTCGTTCGGCGGGGCCTCCTCGTCCACAAGGGTCCTCTGGAGGTCCGAGAGGGCCTCGGTGAGCTGGTCTTGGAACTCCTCGTGCTCCTGCTTGAGCTTGGCCATCTTGTCCAGGTAGCGGCGCTGCTCCTTGGCGAAGGTCTGCTTGATCTCGAGCTCGTACCGCTTCCACTTGCCCTGCATATCGTCCAAGTCCTCCTTGGACCGTCTGACGCGGGCCTCGCTGCGGCGGACAGTGTTGACCAGCTTCTGCACAGATCTGACCAACTGCCCTGCTCTCTGTCCTTGCTCCTCGCCATTCATCGGATGCCTGCCAGCCGAGCTCTCCTCCTTCTTCTTGTTCTTGTCTGACATCTGCTCGAAGGAGGGAAACACTGTGCGGTCTTGGCCCTTGCCCTTGGCCTTCGGCTGCGGCTTGTGCTGCCCATAGTAGCCACCAGAGCGATCTCGCCGTCCATGGTAGGGTTGCTGATCGTGATCCTCCCAGGCGAGCCACTCTTTGTTCTCCTGCCATTTGCGCTCTCCTCGACCCATGGAGTTGTCGAGTTCTCTGTAGCAGGGCCTGCTGTGGTGCAGGCTAAGGAGCAGCAGATCTGCCCACTGGGGGCGCCGGTGCACCGAACGTGAGCACCAGATCCTCCGCCTGGCGCGGGAACGTAGTCGGCGGGCTCGCCGATGCCAGGACGGGGATGCCGGAATGGCCGAGTGGGGCGAGCTTGACTCGCAAAAACCGTGTCGCTGCGACACTTGGGGGCGCTAGCTATCTCTCGCTGTTGAGAGTCTTCTGGGCCCCTTGAGCCAAAATGTGTATATATATATATATACAGATATACATATACATATTCTTAGTTGCGGGATTTTAAAAAGATTTTCGCGGTCGAGGGAGGCCCATAAGCCCCAGAATCCGCATCCGAAAGCGCAGAGACCTTCGAAAGCAGAGCCCTTGAACACGAAAAGCTCGAACCATGCCAGGGGGCCATAGAGCAGGGTTTTGGTGTATATTGTACTATAATTATACGAGGGTTATCTAGGTCCCTCTATTACAAAGACGCTCTGGCAGAATGAAGCTGAAACACTCAGCAAGCATTGCCTCTCCCGCCAACAAGAAGGAAAAAACACGAGCTCTCCGGCATGAGATCAAGCTTTACAACAAGTCGGGCGAGCTTTCTCTCATATAGTATAGGGACCTTAACAAGTAGAATGGGGTTTTGGGGCCCAATATACTATAATTAATATACATAAGAGGAGGAACCCTCAATATAGTGCAATCACGATGTCGATAGACTTCTCGGACTGTTGGAAGACAATTGCTGCTTGCAGTACCGCATGATGCTGCTGAACATCGCAGCTGCTACGGCGACTACGACTGCGACTGCCACTGCCGCTGTTGCTGCCACTGCCACGGCCGCTGCGACCGCTGCTACTGCTACTGCTGCTACTGCTGCTACTGCTCCTGCTACTGTTACTGTTACTGTTACTGTTATACTGTTACCGTTACTGTTACTGTCACTACTACCACCACAACTACTATTACTGTTACTACGACGACGACTACTGCTGGAAATGCTTTCGGCCTGGGGCTCTTCCGGCTCCTTTATTTTAGGTCGTCGGGTTCAGGGTTCTGGGTTTAGGGTCTGGGGTTTAGGCTTAAGGGCTTAGGCTGAAGTACTTTGAAACCCTGACAGCCAGCCAGCTGAAATAAGAGCCCTGATTTGGGTAGTTGTCAAAATTAAGGTCCCTTTTTGGGGTACCCTAAATAATAAGTGCCGCATTAAACTAGGGACTCAAACAGTGACCATAATTTTGACAATCACCCATTTAGAAAACCTGCGACATCCTTCGCATGCTCGTGGAAGACCATTGGATGCGCCAACTCTGTGTGCTTCTCCTCGCGAAAGTACAGTGAGGCCAAGCCCACACTTTGGAAAATTGATGTTTACGATCTGGGGTTTGGGGTTAGGAATTTGGGGGTTTCGTGATTTTTTCGGGTGCGTTTAAGGCATCTAACAATCGGAGTAAAGAGAACTGGCAAGTGTGGCCGCAAGGCACCCGTGCCGGTAGGTTGCTCAGGACACCGTTCCGGCTGTTCTACTTTGTGCACATGTGTCTTAATATCAGTATGCTCCATATTCATATTAGTTTTCTCATTACTATTGCAATCTTACTGTTATCAACATAGTTGAATTTCTTATTTGTGATTCTGAAATACTACTATACTGTACCCGGGGTCTCTGCGGCCGCGGCCGCGAAAAGCCAGATCCATGCCAACTGGTCGAATCATGTTGGCCGTGCTCCTGAATCACGCCAGAACATGGAAGGACGCAGTTGCGCCGCTGTCCTGTAAGTCCGGCAGTACATGAAGCATGGTGGTCACAGTAGATGGGAGAAACCATTTTGGCCGCTGCTGCTGTGAACCCCGCCAGTATACGCGGGAAAGATGTCGGCCATGGTGCACTGGCAGTGTCCTGTGATTCTGGTTCCTAATGGTCTCCTGGTGATCTCTGGCGGTCCTCTGCGTGGTGCCCTGGCGGTCTTCTTCGTGGTCGGTGGTGATCTAGCACTGTTTGGGCATCTACGCCGGCATGAAGCTGTCAGTCAAGTTGAACGACCGCTGAACGCACGGGAGGTCTCGCAGCCGCTACGTGACTCAGCAGCTTGACTTTGATTGTCAGATGTCGGAACTCATTCTGCAACAGCAACAAGGATAGTACGTCCTACAAAGACCCGATCTTATTGCTAGATCCAGTATTTAAGCAGTAAGCTGCAAGGTTGAGCGCTGCTACGAGCTCTACAATTCACACAACTAAAACACTACATGGGGCTAAAGACTTCCGGCTATATAAGGCTTGTCTAAAGAAGCACAAAGGAGTCTTAATAGGATAAAGAGTTATGACTTAAGAGGCTAGGGTTCTATCCATTCCCGAGGTTGAGAACCAAGTGCAACAACCCTACAAAGCGTACACGAAGACACCACGCTGGTCATGACAGGCATGTTGGAACCATACTTAAAGGATCATGGGACTTGGCAACTAGGGTTATAATTGGGGTAACTATACTTATAACTACTTGTAACCCCAATTAAGGTACTCATGACCTTACTTACTGAGTCCCATGATCCTCCAAGTACCCCACCACACAATCTCCGATACCAAAAGCATCTCTCCAGCAGACGCGAGTGGAGCTCTGCCAGCTCTTTGTGTAAGAACCTCGGAGGAACACCCCCAAACAAGGTTTAGGGTTTAGGGGTGAAACTCCAAGCCTTTGCACTTGACTGGACCCTTAGCCTTCAACACTTGAATCCTAAGCCGCTGCTTAACCACAGATCTCAACAGTTCGATGCTAAACTAACGTAGGGGCCTTAATGATTGTAATAGGCTTTGTAATAGGGTTTTGGGGTCCATTATACTGGAGTTATAGGAAGGAGCCCCCCAAGCTAGTACGGCTAATTGTTTAGGCTCCTATATTACCTTCTAATACCCCGGCCCCCTTCCCCGCTGCAAACTTTGAGCCATGCGACTCCATTCATCGATTGCTTGCGGATTTGGGCTGGCTTTCCCTAGGGTCCTTCTTTGCGGGTTTGCACTAAAGCATACCAAAACCATCTTGGAGAGGCTCAGATCCCCGCAAAACCTAAAACCTATGCTGAGACTTTGGGATGTTTCGGATTTGGGCCATAACAATTGGAAAAGGGTTGTGGGCTCCTTTACACCATGAATATAAGAAGGATCGCGAAGTTGTTAGGCTTCTATAGTACCCAGTGTGTCATGGGATGCAACGGCTTCTGAAGACCAGCGGCTCATCGTAGCTGTGAGTAGCCTCCATATTGCCAGCTGCGGCAGACTACCCCGGGCGTTGCTACACTCCTAAACCCTAAACCCTAAACCCTAAACCCTCAACCATGTGAGGATAGGAGGTTCCAGAATGAACCAGAGCCCATGACCCCAAACCCCTAAACCCTAAGCCCGGTAAGCTGATGTCCTATGCTATAAAAAATGGCTCCCTTGAGAGCTGACAGCCGAGGGAGAACAGGCTGTAAGTGTCCGGGCTGCAGGGACTATAGGGTTTAGGGAGAAGTGCTTCAAGCTTCAGATTTTCAAGCTCCTGTCGTCGGCCGCATCTGCATTTTACCTTCGGGCTTTAGAGAACGCTGAACACAAAGGCGGTCCAGGCCGGTTCTCACAGCGCTCTTCTGGAGGAGGATGAAAGGGTGCGATTCGGGTTCGGGGCTGTCGGCATTAGGGTTTAAAGGCTTAGTGTGCAACATGGAAGCCAGCAGGAAGGAGCATCTATATCAAGCATCTTTTGCTCATGATATATCGAGTTGAAACGTAAAGGCCTTAGAGTTTTGGAGACTTCCCCGCTGCTATTTTGGGTGCCAGGAAGAGCCGACACCTTAGGACCAACCGCGCATGACCATGTCACCGACATGTCCAGATTGAAAGTCCAGGTACGAAAGATGATATAAATCCTGCGTTACCTTAAGGACCCCAAACTATGGGAATTATGGTATATTCCTTATTATGGGTCATGCAGGATTTATATCATCAACCGTATGGGGCCTTCCAAAACCTGCTTCTAGGGACACTGCTTTAGAGCCGGGGGGCGCACCGCCGCTTTTGATCTATACGGCTAGCACTTCCGGATTCCCGGTAACTCCTTACCCATGGGTCATGTCCCTCGGAAGGTTTGCAGCATGTCGCTCATGATTCGCACGTTCATTATATAAGGGCCTTGTAAACAATTAGAATAGGGATTGCGGGTATACTATACTATAACTATAAGTATTTAAACGCCCAAAGTAGTATAGCTTATTTCGGCCCCTGCATTACCAGCGCTTATCTTCCGGGCTACAGATCCAGACCCTAAGGCCCGGAATCCAAAATCCCTCATAAACCCCTCACCAAACACGAAAACCCCAGACTCGGAAACCACAAAAACTCTGAGAATAAAAGACGCCTTGATGGTTTGCACAAGGTTATGGGATGCAAGGCTTATTCCATGTATTGAACTCATTCAGTTTCCTATAGTACGAGTTCGATGGGTCAAGATCGACCTGGACATATCGATTGCGCCAGGCTGAAGGTGACAAAGGTCTCCAATAGTGGTGGCACACAGAAGGAGAAACCGTGTCCCGACGGCCTCGCGGACTAAAACCCGCTGACTGCAGGACGGCGGGAGAGGCTTGAAAGAAAGGCCTAGGAGGCGGCTGTGTATGAGCAGCCCCAACACGGCCTTGAAGAGAAAGGCACAAGGCAGCTACCCTTTGTGCCCTGTCTTTGGCAGGTCGTGCGGCTTTAAGGGTCAACCCGACGGACGGCTGGCTCAGAGTCGCTGCCGGAAAGTAATTATGTCTGGGACCTGAAAACTTAGAATAGGGCTTCAGGGTATCGCAAGTAGAATGTAATGAGGAACCCTCGAAGGGCAGCCTTACAAGTCATTAGCCCGACCATGCTTAGTGCCATACCGGTACATCACCGATCCTTAAGCCCACGGTGTGTGGCTGGGGAGATCGAAGACTAGGCCGAAAGCTGTTCAGGGTTATATACGTAGGTCAAAGGCTTTGGACTTAGGTGCCATGGGTTGCAGATGTTCGGCATCGGGGTTTCGGCATGTGAGATTTTAGTTGTGGCTTGAGCCATGGCACTGCAACTTCAATCCTGAAGCCCAACTTGCAGTTTCAGTCTAAGTACTTCAAGACTGCGCTGGGCTAGCTTTCCTTCGTAGGATTCGTCATCATCGCACGATTGAGCTGAACGAACCCCACTGCCCTTAAAGCCTGAACTCCGAACCTAATGTATCGGGGCCTCAATAGTTGGCATAGTGCTCTGTTCCTTCAGAGTACTGCACACGTAGCTATAAGAAGAAACCCAACGGAATATATTGGCAACTATTCAAGCTTATTCTATATTAACTAGCAGTATCACTATCCGCGAATCTGAGACCAGCGTTTTCGGCGATCTTCGAGCACAAACGAGTTCGCAAAAAGGACAGAAACGGCGTTGGGCCACTGCGGAATGCCATTAAGCAAAACCTGTATACCGGCGACCCCATACACAGAACCTCCATAATCCGGATGCCGAACGCAAGTTTCGGCCATCATACTGATGCTGCTTGTCCAGATTGATAGCATCCCCACGATCGAAGACTTTGCACCCTCTGGCAGCTCGTGAAACAGACTACACAACATACAGCAACTCAAGAGTTTCAGCCGTGCAGTTTGGAGAAGCACCCCGAGGACAAGCGGTATAGCATCAGTGCAACTCCAGCTGTTCTGCAAAGCCCAGTTCCTGTCCCAAAGGGTTGGCCGGTGTTCCACCCGTAGGCGGCCCCGACCAATCTGGGGCGAGCTGCTGCACTTTGGCGCACCGCGTCGCCTTCCTGTGAAGCAAGACTGGATGGAAATAGCAGCTGGCACTCAAATACTAGGGAACAGCAGGGTGCTATCGCTTGTCGAACCTATGGTTATGGGTGAGCTGTACTTGACGAAATGACATTCGTACTTTACAGAAATTCATACATGTATATGTCAGCATCTGTATAGATACATGCATACGTACCGATCCCCAGAGACAAAGGAATCGACAGACGTATAGATAGCAAAACATCCAGCCAGGTGGGTAGGTAGGTAGGTAGGTAGGCAGATGCATAAGTATCGGGAGTTAGGCGACTACTTGGAGGATCATGGGACTTAGTAAGTAAGGTTATAAGCACCCAAATTGAGGTTATAAGTAGCTATAAGTATAGTTACCCTAATTATAACCCTAGTTACTAAGTCCCATGACCCTTTAAGTAGGTAGGTAGACAGGCAGATGGATCGGTGGGTAGACCAAAAGTTCGCGCGTCGCATGAGCTTGGCTGTCGTTACCCTTTGCTTGTTATCGCCTGGTCCTCGTTTGGGGTTTGGTACTGTAGGAACATGATTAAGAAACTCTAGGCCTCTATTTGGGTTCCTTTATATGAATCCGACTATTTTGGGGTTATAGGCCCAGGGTTTCTTAATCAGGCTCCTACATTTAGTTGCATATAGCTGCATTCGGCGTGGCCTTTAGGGAAGGCTGTCTACACTGGCAGTGCTGGGGTTACGCATATAGGACATAGGGTTGGCCTTCGCACCCTGAGCCTAGGCTAGGGTGCATACCCGACGCGCTGTGTCAGTCGAGGTCTGGTCAGAAGCATCTCGAGGATACACCCCCCAGCCTCGAGTCCTCGAAGTGATTTCTTTACACTTGAACCGCGCACCGGGCACACTCACCGTCGCCATGCTCTGCAGGTATGCTGTCTAAGGTGTACCGATTTGCAACGCATGGCAAATTCAAGGGCTTGGACTGTATATGTACACACAAACCATAGATGACCAGGGCTTGCATGGCCACAAGTCGGAAAGCTTTACCATTGTAGACTAGAAAGGTTTGAGGTTGAGGACGACGGCTCTTATCGCGGTGTGAAAGTATACAGTATACTAGCCTTCAAGTTGTCACAGTGTGCTCCATTTGTTCTACTACACACCGTCACACAATGTGACCTGAGCGGATGGTAGTGCCGCGTACTAGCTCCACGACTTTCTCCTGCTCCCACAGGGCTGTGAAACAAGTATGGCTTATGGAAGCCATCAGGCCATCGGCAAGCCACGTATGCTTACCTCAGCTGGCCTACTTTCTTCGGCCTTATAATCGAAGCCCCAACCCTAAACCCCAAACCCAAAACCCTAAACCCTGGCAGCTTTCAACATCTGCTCAGGAGAATCTCCGTCTCGCATCACCTCAGCACCTCGGCGCTGAAGACCCATTCAAAGATTCGGTTGCCAAGAGCATTATAGGATTTATAGTTAAAAAGACTTACGGGGTTCCGTCGTAGAACCCGCATACAACCCGCCAACGCGTCGGAGACGTGGCCTTTTGCTGCGGAAGCGCACACATTTATCTTTCTCCGCGCGCAAGGACATTGGAACTTCGACAGATTGCTGTGTTCGCGGTTCAACGACGCAGTGTTATGCAACTTTCGCTGGGGAAGGGATGGGTGCTTAAGCAAAGGCCACATATGGGACGCCTAAAATGAAGAACATGATTCTTATTTATTCTTCTACCAGGAAACTGCATGACGGTTGCCAGTTTTGCGATGCAACCGTGCCAAAACTCAGAGAATATGCTTCTTCCACGACGACATATTCCAAAACAGTTTGCCAAAAAACGACAAACAAGGCACCGCAGCTCTGTAACTTTATTCAATACATTTCGGGAAATGGAGCATGGTTACACAATGCGAAAGACTGTTGCTTTGCCAACTTGGCTCTGCGAGCACACTTAGATGTGTCTCCATGCGACACGACTGGCTGATTCGGAGGCAGACTTGGATCTCTCTCCGTCCGAAGGTACACGCACATGCTCATGCGAAAAGATTGCTGCATTCTAACGCCGAGAGCATGCGATCTCTCTCTCTCTCTCTCTCTCTCCGTGCAGTTTTGCATCGATCCCGTGCCATCTGTCTCTGTGCGCAAAGAGACATGTTCATGCGAAAAGACCACGGCGATCTCGCGCCGCCCGCAAGACAGATGACAGTTAATTGCAGACGCCAGTGTCTCCAGTGACAGTTTCTACGGTCAGTCGCGCATGCACAGATCCCTGAAGCTCCCGTTCTCGTATCCACCGTGCCTTTCACACATTATAGACCTACCAAGCATATCCACTTTTGGGGAATAAGGACAGGGCTTTGTGGTATGCTATCTTGTGCGGAACCCTAGAAAGTAGTGTTTCGGCTCCCTATATAACCCCACCCCTTTCAGAGCCCTCTCGCACTTGGCGCCGCGCTCGATGGACTTCGTGCGAGAGCTCTCTTTGTTCTTGAAGAAGTCCGTCCGTTGGGACTCCGCAGTTTGGGGTTTATGGTTATTATTCTTATTATAATTATAACTATAATTAGTATTATTATTATTATTATTAGTATTAGTATTATTATTATTGCTATTATTATTATTATTATTATGACTATTATTATTATTGTTATATATATATATATATATACATATTTTTTCTTGAGGGGGGAGGGGGGTGGGGGTTCATGTTGCAGAGTTGAGGTTTTATGGCCTATACCGCTTAGAGTTGAGGATCTAGGGTTGCGGGTTTATGGTTCAGAGATTAGGGTTTATGGTTTAGCACTTACGTTTACCGAGTTCTGTTTTCAGATACTGAATTGTGAGGTGTGCTCTGACTGACAATTGCGTAGGAGCTGGTATGGTGGCTGGGGTTCACACCCTTACGGCTGTGTGCTGGTTCTATACGAGTTCGTGTGCTCTCAAGGGGGTTGTCCAACCTTTTGTACTGGCTGCCGTGCTTCAAATGTTCTTTTGAAGTCTGGAAGTAGCCGTCGACTAAAGCAGAAGCTCCCTTCCACAACCAACAACCAAGACGACTGAAGTCACCGGCACTCGGAAGAATGGCGGTCATACCCTGAACCCTAAATCCGAAACCCCACACACTTCCTAAAAAAAAATGTTGAAGGAATTGGAGGAGAAACAAAATACAAAAGCTGAACACTCCTCCTGTGCTGCCTGCCTTGCCTGAGCCCGTCTGAGCTAGCAGCAGCAGAAGCAAAAGCAGAAACCAGCAACAGCACCACAACCACAACCACCATCACAAGCAGCCACAGCAGCAGCACCTTCATTGGAGCAGTGTGGGATATTACATAACTATACGACAAGCAACCCTGAGGGATACTATTGCTAAATATTCAGGCTTCTATACTATAGCCCGCCAAATACAAGCTGCAGGAGCCTGGGCCTGGGCTGTCTTCATGCATGCGAATCTCTCTGCGCGCTGCGCGAAGTTGGGAATCTTAGCGGTTCAGGATTTAGTCTGGATTTAGGGCGCAGTGGTATACTGTCTAGAATTTGCGGGCCTAAACCCTAAACCCTAAATCCTAAACCCCACAAACCCTAAACCGGGGTTTAGGATGCAGGGGGTCTGAGGGTGACGGCTCAAGGCCTTCATGGTTCTGGGATTGCGGTCTGGGCTGGATGGTGGGCTTTCACAGTAGCTGCAGCCTTTAAGGGAGTTTCCGAAAATAGGGGTACCTTATTTTGGGGTCCTTATAATAAGGATCCTACTATTTAGGGTACTATATTAGGGTCCCCTGTTTTCGGAAACTCTCATTTGAAAAGGGGCATCCTTGGGGACTCTTTCTTAGTCTCGGTTTAGACTTTAGGGTTTAGGGCAGGGCCTCTTCTTTTCTGGGTTAGAACTCTGAGATGGACATCCTTCTGGAAACATGATACAACTGAAATAGAGGCCCAGCCATCAACAGCCGGACTCCTCCCTTGAACAATCTCAGCTGCAGCTCTCGAAATGCTCAGAAAAGGCCGTTCGAACTCTCAGATAGACCTCCAAGTTCACACCCGTCAGCCGGAATCAGAAACCATCGCTCCTGTCGAGACGGTGTGTAAACTGAAAACCAAGTTTCCAGGCAAGAAGTGGCTACTCGTGCAAGTAAACAAATTAAACCGTTTTGGGAGAACCTTCGCAGCTGTCCCTGTAGTTACTTTTTTCTTACCCCGGTCCTGAGAATGCTATCTCAAAGTTCTAAACCTGGGGCAAGGAGCATCCACCTCATAGTCAAAGAGAACATCTGTCACGATCTCGCCACGGTCGTACAGGGCCTCGATGCGGCCCACAATCCTGGGCTCCACGGCGAGTCTGAGTATGGTGAGCCAACGAGCCCGATGAAAGAGAAAGATGTAGAAATCGCGCCGATGTATGAGCCGTACTTGACTTGATCCACAGTTGACTTGTAAGATCAACCAGCGGGGGCTTGTCATTCCGGTTTACAACTTAAAGTCTAGGTACCGTGCTCAAGCTCCCTGAAAGTTTCATGGTTGGGAGTGGGTTTTCCGTACCCTACATGCCAAGCGATCCAGATCAAGGCCTGCGAATTTTGTGGGTTTCGCTGTGGGTCCGGGTAGTGGGCATGTGCACTCACTGCCCTGACCCGAGATGCCCAGGATTTAGGGCTCCGGAGAAGGGTGTGTGTTCTCAGACATGGGTTCAAATGCTGGGGCTGCCCAATTTTCACGATCTTGCGTCCTGTGGACATTCTCCTGGTCTTGAAATCTGAAACTCTCAATCCTATGTCGATGTAGGGGCCTTAATAACTAAAATGGGATCTTGGGGCATTACTTACTTCCATAGGGACTCTATAAATGAATACTGTTCCTAATTATTCAGACCACCATACGAAAGTAAAATTAGAAGCCCCTGGTTACGGTTCTGGAGCCTGCAGCCCTCGAGGCTACGACTCCGCGATACATGTCCAGAAGCAGCAACCATAAACCCTAAGTTCGGAAATCTAAGCCTACTACGACAAGAAAAAACGCAACGGTCCCCTAAACCCTATAGGCTCTAAACCCTAGGTCACACAACCGCAAACGCACCACTTGCCTGCTTCGGGCCGAGATACAGCAGGCCCAGGATTTTGAGAAACTCGAACATTTCGCCTGCAGGCGCAGGGCCTACGGCCTAATAATGAGAATTAAAGGGGACTATAAGGGCATTTATTAGGGATCCAAAAGGGTACTATTCTGTAGGGGCCTGAATAAATAGAATAGGGTTTGGGGGCCCATTATACAATAATTGTAACAAGGAACCAGGTAGTAATTAAGGCCCCTAATATTGCTCTCCTTTAATGTCACATCACTGTCGGTCATCATCACGCTCCAGCACTTCTAACGACTTGAAGCTTACGGTCAGTGTCATGATGACCCGTGCTCAACATGACCCAACATATGGGAGTTTCCAAAAGTGGGGGGGACCCTAATATAGTACTCTAAGGATCCTTATTATAAGGACCCCTAAAATACGGTACCCCTAATTTTCGGAAACTCTAAACCCTAAACCCTTTATAGAACTCTTATAGATAACTTTAAGGAATCCCCAAAAAAGGACCCCTTTAAAGGTACCCCTAATTTTCGGAAATTCCCAAACCCTAAACCCTATAGATCCCCTTAAAGAACCCTTAAAGGACCCCTTATAGATCCCTTTAAAGGGAAATTCCCATATTACGTATGCGTCGCGGCGTAAGCCGTGGTTGTAGCCGCAGTCGTCGCAGTCGCAGTCCGAGTCGGAGTCGGTGCTTAGTAGTCGTAGTCGTAGTCGTAGTCGTCGTCGTAGTAGTAGTAGTAGGAGTAGTAATAGTAGTAGTAGTAGTAGTAGTAGCAGTAGTAGTAGGAGTAGTATAGTAGTAGTAGTAGTAGTAGTAGTAGTAGTAGTAGTAGTAGTAGTAGTAGTAGTAGTAGTAGTAGTGGTAGTAGTAGTAGTAGTAGTAGGAGTAGTAGTAGTAGTAGGAGTAGTAGTAGGAGTTGGAGTAGGAGTAGTAGTAGTAGTAGTAGTAGTAGTAGTAGTAGGAGTAGTAGTAGTAGTAGTAGTAGTAGTAGTAGTAGTAGTAGTATGCGCTTAGTGCATATTTGACGCTGCGTTGTCTTGCACGTCGCCCGCATAAAACACTGTGTTTCCGATGTACGCAGGACATGGCTTGTCTCAGTCAGGGGTGCGTTGAATTTTGGATCAGGATAGTTGTCAGCAGTTGACTCAGTAGTGTCGGATGATGTGTGTTGTCAGCAGTTACTTGAACTATGCAAGAACAGGAAGCTTTACAGGGGAGCATGCCAACAGCTTCATCTGACTTTTTGTCGTATTTGTTCCCCGCCTCCGCCCCCCACCCCCAAACCCCCCAACCCCCCCAAGCCAAGCCAAGCCAAAAATGAGTACTGAAAATTTATTCAAGGCCCTCAGTTCCCGCCCACTCCCCCCCCATACCCCCCCAACCCCCAACCCACCAACCCCCACCCCCCCCAAGCCAAGCCAAGCCAAAAATAATAATCCAAGGCCCTCATAGGAAAAGCAAGGCCCTGATAGGAAAAGCAAGGCCCTCATAGGAAAAGCAAGGCCCTCATACGAAATCCATAGACCTGATACGAACACCAGGGCCCTCATACGAAATCCAAGGTCTCATCAAGCCCAAAGCCCAAAGACATCTCCGCTCTCAAGCTGAAACCCAAATCCCAAAGATAGAATTCCTAAGTCAAGGTTTTCAGAAGTCAACGCCCCCCAGAGAATTAGTGAAATGTGCTTAAAGCTCGAGTTTTGGGCATGTGAAGTAAAGAGATGCATAGCGTCAATTATGCACTACGCTCGTAGTAGTAGTAGTAGTAGTAGTAGTAGTAGTAGTAGTAGGCACCCCCCCTACCAACTACACTTGCTCTCAACCATGTTGAGACAACATCCATTTTACTCAGTATTTACGGCACTTTCGTCATGTGCGATCATCCTAAGAGGCCAAAAAATCGACTTGTCGAGTTTGCAAACTCGGGCTCTTGATTTAGGACTTGCTTCTGGGGGTGGGTGGGGGGGTGGGGGGGGATGATGACGACACTGTTACGCGAACACACCCACCAGTATCACCACAAGAGCCGTTTAACTCGGTATTTACGGTACTTTCGTGATGTCACACTTTGTTACATATTCTGAGCCCCTACTTCTCGACTATGCGTATTAAACTTTGCTGTTTGGACTTGTTTGCAAAAAACTCGAAATTGGGTGGGGGAAAGCTTCTTCTGGGATGATCACGACACTGTTTTGCGGACACCCTGAACAAAATTTTCACACTCAAGCGGGCACACACCACACACACACCACTTCAAAAACAGACCCTCCTACGCAGAGGTTGGGCGGTAGGCGGTAGGGGTGTTGGCGAGCCCCTCCCACGTACAGCTGGCATCTTTGTTTTTGATGTTTAGAAGATGTTGCGCTTCAGGTTTTAGAAATGTTAAGCCCTTCTTGGCAGCACCTGGGTTTTGCACGGTATTTACAGCGTTTTCGTACTATCCGACCACCTGGGGTTTATCAGTGTCTTCCCGTCGAGCTTGCAACTCCAGCTGCTGTCGCAGTTTTGGGGCCTGAGCCCCTGCAACTTCACCGGCTGTGACAGTTAAGGAAACTGAGCCTCTGCAACTTCTGCAGCTGTCACAGATAAGGAGCCTGAGCCCGTGCATCTTCTGCAACTATCGCAGTTAAGGCGCCTAGCAGCTACCGCTGCCCAGCCCGGATGGAACAAGCGTAGTTGGGGGGGGGGGGGTGCACCCCCGCTTTACAACCAGAATCCCCACTTTACAACCAGAACCCCCACTTTACAACCCATGAGCCTTTCCGGAATCCCCACTTTGCAACCGGTTGGGAAAGCTTCTTAACAACCCTATTAACTGATAACGTCAAAGCCTAGAATCTCTAGCATCATCCTCTACGGCAGCCAGGCAGGTTGGAAAGTGATGTTGGTTGCAATGTGGGCGTTCTTAACCCGAAACCACGATAGATATGTGTGTGTGTGTGTACATATGTATATATATATATATATATATATTTAGATGCGTGAGGGTTTGGTATCGATGATACTGTTTAGATGCTCACCTCAGCGAGCGTGTTGTTGCATAGTGGTTTGCACTTTACGCACTTGCGGCCGTCAAGCTGTATCCAACTCACTCCCTGCAGGCAAACTCGGACCATTTTAGAAACGGATTCTTTTCTCACCAGAGCGCAGGTATGCATTTTTTAGTATATATATATATATTTATTTATTTATTTATTTATTTATATTAAAGCCAATACATGAACCCGAACATTTTACTACATTTGATGTTGTATGTACGGTTTTACGCCATACAAGTACTTTCAAATCACCTTTTTTGTGTGCTTGTATTGAGGAAAGCATACACAAAACATGACCTTTTAGAACCCCAACCCACCGACCCACCACAGGCAAGGCTAGAGTGCAAAGCGCAGTAACATGTAACCAAATTCCTACCCTCGAACTCCACAGCACCACGCTTCACAGACGGACTCTTTTCTCACCAGAGCGCAGGTATGCATTTTTTAGTATGTATGTATGTATATATATATATATATATATTTTTATTAAAGCCAGTACATGAACCCGAACATTTTATTACATTTGATGTTGTATTTACGGTTTTACGCCATACAAGTACGGGGTTCCCATACGGGTTCTGCAGCATTTGCGGGCCGGGTATAGTGTGCAAGGATAGCGTGGTTAGGGTTCTAGACCTAGTGACTCTACGAGGGTTTAGGGCTTAGGGTTTAAACAGCCCTCAACTACTGCTTTGCCTCCAGCCAGGCGCACAGAAGCACCCACAGACGACAAAGATCAAAGATATCATGCGACGAAGCAATTTTAGTGATGTTCGAGATCTTAGTAGTTTGGGGCCACGGTCGGATGAAGGCCACGTAAAACACTTTAGGGGGTCAAAGAACCAACAAACTATTAGGAATCTAGGTAGGTTTGTTGTAAAAAAATCATGAAATCCCAATAAGTCTTAATCATGGGTAGACGGGTTGCAAAGTGGGCGTTCTCACGATCGGCAGTTGTAAAGTGGGGATTCTCACATGGAAAACAGTGTCTGTGGTTGTAAAGTGGGGATTCTGGTTGTAAAAGGGATTCTGGTTGTAAAGCGGGTTAATCTCCCCCGGAAAGAGCGGGGGGGGGGGGGGGGGGGGGGGGGGGGGGGGGGGGGGGGGTGGCCGGCTTAAATAGGGTCTATTTGGCAGCTGGATGGCTGTGTTTTTGCATTCAAGTAGTGCTTATTCTCATCACCACAGACCACGCCATGACACGGGTGACGTAGGCACAGACTCCATGCGTGCATAATTGATCGTTGAAAATGTCTGCGCTCTCGTGGTGCCTAGCTGCGTATTACACTGCGACATACAAGCGGCGGCCACTTGCGCACAAAGTTCGTGTGAATGTAATGTAATGTTTAACCAATCAGAATGTCCACGACTCCTTGGAATGTAGACAGACGGCTCAAGAAAGGGTGGATATTCCCCCAACCCTCAACGAAAACACGGAGAAAGTCTCTCCAAGTCATTCAGCTGATTTCTAGCAGCGAGCTCCTCTACCTCTTGGTAAGTCTCCATCTCCTCTGACGATAAATGAAGGTAGCTCGCTGCTTCGTCATCCGCAAGAAATGAGCTTCTTTTCCCCAAAAGGGTAAGGAAGAGATCCCTTGGCACATCCTCTACCGCAGCATCTCAAAGGAGCAGAGAACCCTTCCAACGTCACGAGAAAAAAAGAACTCCGGCTGCCTCTTAGTCGACAAGAAGAGAGAGGAGCTCCTTGTCGTCCCCTCTTCCTCCTCAAGGTATAGAAGAGAGATAGCTTTCAAGAAGTGAGGACTGAGCTGTCTCAATCTTCAAAAGAAGAGTCTGATCCTCCCCTTAGCCTTCAATAAGACATGAGCAGCCCTCTACCCCATCCTCTGAATTAGCTTCCAAAAAAATCCTCTGCCTCATCCTCGACAAGAAGAGACTGAGAGCTTCCTCCAAACTAATGGAACAAAAGAAAGCGCCATCTCAACAAAGCAAACAGGCCGCTCCAACTTCACGAGAAAGAAGAGGGCTCCGTTTACCCCTCGGCAAGAAGAGACCT